CTCCTCTACAATGGGTACCGGGATCCTTTCCCGGGGGTAAAGCCGGCCGGGGCGTGATGCTGACCACTCACTCCCATCTAGCGCCGAGGTCAAGGAAGAGAGGAGCTATACCTCCACTCATCCCAAGCGCCTGTACGGCACGTAGCGGGACAAACTTTACTTCTGAAGATATGAGGAGGAAACAATAGTTTCTGTTGTATCTGTGATGTGTTTCATAACTCCGTCAGCTTCAGCGAAGGAATAAATGCTCATTCAACCCATTGTGACAGCCAAACATATTATCGCGTAGTGAGAGTTTTAAACTTCAAGTATATGCGGTAGTGTTTGAGACATTGCGCGCCGCTTTGGCACGTGACTTAAAGCAGTTGCTGATTGGTTATGTCAGTCATTGATTGTAAGAGAGAATGTACACAGCGTGACAGTTTAAGTTGATCCCTGATTTTTTAGATAAAAATTAAAATTTATACAAATTATTACCTACAAAGTCATGCCAGCAGGTTAAGATACATAAGTGACTGTGACAGTGTTGGTGTAGTATATGGATTTAAGGTGACTTAAATTTTTAGTGGCTTAAACATTGAAAAGAAAAAAAATATAGTACTTTTGTATATGTATTGAATTTGGTAAAAATTATGTTGTAATTTTATTTGATGTATTTTATGCACATACTTGTACACGTATTTGTAATTTTCCATTTGCTTCACTGTACAAGTTATACTAGTCATTAAAATCTTCATTTGTAAAAAGATATTTTGCATTTCAGAATGTAATGTGGTTGTTTAATTTACTTTTGAAGCGAGAAGATGGACGTCAGCCAATTCTTATGTTTATGGAGAAGCCGTCAAAGAAACTATACCCAGATTACTACCAGGTAAGGATTTATATAATTTGACTTGGAATGAAGATTGTGGTCATGTTCACTCCAGTTCGTTGAAGTTTTTCTTTGGTTTCAGGTGATCACAGATCCAATTGATATGCTAAGCATTGAGGCCAACATCAAGAGTGAGAAATACACTTGCGAAGAAGAGATTATTTCTGACTTTAAGGTTAGAATTTTTCTGTGAAACTAACTCCCGACATCTTAGCATAACTGGTCTGTGTTATGGTAAATACTATAATATTGTCTGCTAAGAATGGTGGAAAAATCTGAACACATTTTTTTTGAAAACTGTAATATGCAAAAAAATTAAAAATCATTGCATATCTTTACGTAATTAAAGAATATTATATGGTTTTATGTATTGCAATCTACAATGCGATCATATCAGAGCTGTAATAAACTGGTGTGTTGTGCTACATAATACATAGTAGACCACCCCTATGAGCATTACCATGGTGGTGGTTGTAATATCTTGCAGAGCTCAAAATCCTTTAAGAGTAAATGATTACCATACAGTGGCCAAGGTAATAATAATACAGCCAGATGCTCTTATAAACTTTAAATTTGGTTACGACTGCTGCTTTCCACATATTTTCCAATTTATTGGTAAATGATGTCATAGAAATTGGTTTCCAGAATTAATGTTCGTGACCGTATGCAGTGTCTATTTACCTTAGAAGATCAGCATGGACCGCTGACCGATAGGAGCCCGAGAAATGTCTTACGAAAAATCAGATAGTGTCTGATGTAACCAGGATCTCTTAGCTCTCCGTTTGTCTTGCAGCTGATGTTCGATAACTGCCGCCAGTATAACGAAGAAGGTTCCATGATTTATGAAGATGCAAATAAACTAGAGGAAGTGCTCATAGAGAAAATGAGAGAGGTGGGCCTCAGTACCATGCTGTTGACAGCATCATCGGCGACAGGAACGACCTCATCAGCGACATCTGCGCTCACTGCTGCGACCGCAGCATTAACATCATCGGACAGTACTAATGCCAGGAGAACCGTGGATCGGAGAGTGTAAGTAGTGTTTATGTATCATATTACTTATAATGAATTGCATTTCTTTTAATATGCCTGTGTCATGGTTTATGCACAGTCCATCAGGATAGATACTTTGTTCATCAGGGTTGAAGATGGTGACAGTATGTTCCTCGAAATGCTGGTGTCTACCTATGAAAGTAAATTGTGTTACAACCAAGGACAATATTGTCATCTTCATCACCACGAGAACCTAAAATCTGACATCTGAAGTGTCGGACAGTTATGATAGTTAATTTATAATTGTTTATTCCTAGTGTCAAACCAAAGAAGAACACAACTGTGCTTGCCCAGAAGTTACGAACTTTGTACGATACCATACGTGATTATAAGGATCCGAAAGGACGGCAGCTCAGCCTCATTTTCCTTAAACTTCCCTCCAAACTTGTAAGTTACAGTTTTGTATATTGGACGTTGAATTTTATTTGCATGCCATTCTATAGTTTTTATGCTAACATTCATTATGTTTTAATAAGTTTATGATGTTTTTCTGTGCCCCACAAGAACTGAAACAGGATTTTCATAAGATCATGGTCACTGATATCCTCTTTTATAATGCTGTGCCATAAATTATATTAATGTGGTATCTGTGAACAGTTTTGAGTTTGTTGTAACGGTTCCATGACAAAACCCCACACGAAAATTCCGCACAGAAAAAAGCCCACTGTCAAATGCTCCCACGAAAAATACCCACCCTTAATAATGCGTTATGTGCATGCTATGACGTGAAGTTCAAACCTGCAATATTCTTATTGACATGAACAAAGAATATGTTTATAAATGAAATTATAATAAATAGAAAGTTCTGTAAAGTCAGCATGGAGAAGTCCTGGAGAAGTCGTAAACCGGGACGGTCATTTCAGATTCGTTTGTTTGATTGTTATGTTTTACATTGAATTAGATTGGGTTAAGTTAAAGGGGCATCTGCGCAGAAGGTGATGCGCAGTGACGTGATGCAGATTGTCTATGTTAAGGCATCGTATGTGTTTTATTACCGATTGTGAGAAATTAAACACTCAAATATTTCAATGTTCAAAAATTATAGAACAATCTTGGGTTTGAGTCACTACCATAGCTTTATACTTCGAAGATTTCACATTGGTTACCTACTTGTGGACCTCGCAACACAATGAAGCTACAACGCGCTTAGATAACTGTAGTCACTATCAGTATCTTTGCCATTAAAATCTTTCTGCACTCATTTTGTGCATTTGTTGGTCTTATGACGTATCAGTGTACGTATCGGCAGCAGTTAGAGAATATAAACAAACGTCTTTGTGCATAGTTCCTTGATTATAAAGTCGGATGTTGGTGATCGTGGCCGATTTCACGTTTGTTCCACCTCGCGACTTTGATGCCGTCGTGTGAATTTATTACAAGTGTTGTGACACATATAGGTATTTATTTTTGTTACTTACCTGTGGCACGACGTCCACACAAAATTTCAGCAGTTTCCGACCATCGATGTTCTATTTCGAAAATTCGTGCGCAGGTGGCGATGTTCAGCTGACGCAGAATACCCCTGTTGGGTTGAGTTAGGTTAGGTTAGGTTAAAGGAGCATCTGCGCAGAAGGTGATGCGCAGTGACGTGATGCGGATTGTCTAAGTTAAGGCATCGTTTGTGTTCTATTATCGATTGCGGGTAATTAAACAATAAATTATTTCAATTTTCTCACATTATAGAACAATCTTTTGTTTGTGTCACTACCATAGCTTTATACTTCGAAGATTTCACATTTTATACCTACTTGTGGACCACGCAACACAATTGGCTGACGTCACTTATGAATGTTTTTACGCAATTGTAGTTGTTGAATTGCATGTGTGGTCTGCTTACGCTTAAGTATTATTAATACACATGTTATAATTTTATTTTAAAATATATCGAGTGCATAACTCCTTGTTGATTTAGTCGGATATTGATGATCTTGGCCGATTACGCGTTTCATCCACCTCGCGACTTTGACGCCTTCGTGTGAATTTATTACAAGTGTTGTGACACATTTAGGTATTTATTTTTGTTACTTACCTGTGGCACGACGTCCGTACAAAATTTCAGCAATTTCCGACCATCGATGTTCTATTTCGAAAATTCGTGCGCAGGTGGTCATGTTCAGCTGACGCAGAATACCCCTGTTGGGTTGAGTTAGGTTAGGTTAGGTTAATGGGCATCTGCGCAGAAGGTGATGCGCAGTGACGTGATGCAGATTGTCTATGTTAAGGCATCGTATGAGTTCTATTACCGTTTGCGGGAAATTAAACACTCAAATATTTCAATGTCCTTAAATTATAGAACAAACCTGTGTTTTATTCACTACCATAGCTTTATACTTCAAATATTTTATATTGTTACCTTCTTGTTAACCTCGAAAGACAATTGGCTCACGTCACTTGTGTATGTTTTTACGCAGTTGTAGATGTTTAATTTGCATGTGTGGTCTGCTT